CTCACATTCTGTCTCTCTCTCACTCGCAAAAATAAACATTAAAAAAAATGAAAAATAAATAACATGGGTTTTTGTGAGTGCTTGTAGCCACCTTCGATTTTGTCTGGTCTCCAGAAAGGGTAGAAGGGGGGTCCCACGTGCAGACTGCGACTTGAATAACCACCAAGCAGCGAGCACGTCCGCAGGAAGGGTCAGGTGACAAGCATCCTTCCAGGGACCTGGAGCACTGAGCCCCGGACCACTGCTCCGGATGTGTGGTCCAGCAGAGGTTATCTTGTCCCTTCCGCTCAGCTGCCTCAGCCTGCCCCTAACTGTCCATCAGCACTCAGTCACCGTGGTCTGGGACAAAATGGAGTCCTGAGAGGTGAGGGGCGAGTGTCCCTAGCCCGCTGTAGGACTAAGCCTACGGATGCACAGCCTGGGCTACCACCCAGGGCTGTTCCTGGAACCTGAGCGGGAACCAAGTGCAGTCATGGGGGGCCCAGAGAGCATGGCCAGGTCCCCGGAACATACTGAGCTGAAGCTAGAGAGAGCGTCAATGCAGCCGGGATCCCAGAACCCTCTGGACGGGGCAAGATGCCCAGTGTGATCCCAGGAGTGCCCAGCTCTGCCCCTCATCTCGGAGCCTTTCCGGGCAGCATCTGGCCTCGGTGGGTCTGCCGGGCCCACAGCCGTGCCCTGCTGTCTCCACTCTGGGGGCACAGCCAGCGCACGGGCCCAGCCTGGGATGGTGTTCGAATGGCCGTCGTCTGGAGAAGTTGGAGCCGGCAGGCCGGGCACGTCCGTGCTCGGGGCACAGCAAGATTTTTCTCTGTGCCGCTGACAAGGGAGGGTTCAGAGGGCCCTCTCTGCCGGGCAGCCACGTGGTCACAAAATGCTTCTTGGGAGAACGGAGTTTTATCCAAACCCCTGTCCCTACAGGGGCTTGTACATGCCAGTCTGGGACAGGCCTGCAGGCCCCCAAGGGTGGCCCTAACTGCAGCGATCTTTGTCAGGCCCTGGGGGCAGAGGCTGACAGTTGTGCAGGACAATACGCCAATACCCGTGACACTCTGCGCAGGGGTTGCGGGGGGGAGAGAGCACTGGGACTAAACGGTTCTAGAACCAGAATTATCTTTTCCCTCGTTGAACCTGAGCCTCAGCACAACACAGGCCCCTCTGTCCCTCCTGGGGACCAAGGGACATAGGCCTCACTCAGGCTCTTGATTTCTGAAAGCCCAGAGATCTGGGCATTGGGGCCCTCCCCCTGCCCCTCCCCTACCAACAGGGCTCTCGGTGGAAAGTGACCAGCGTTCCCTGCGGGGAAGCAAGGGCGACCAGTAACTGGGATAATATGGGCGCTGATGGCTGTGTGGCCCGAGCACGTCCCTCTCCGCTGTGACCAGGACGGCATACGGTCAGCCCCGCTCCAGGGGTACTGGCCTCACTCCTCCTGGACCCCGCCACCCTCACCCCCCTGCCCAGGCTCCTTTCTTCCCATCTGGGTTTTGTGGATTTCACAGTCCCAAATTCACATTCAATTCCGTCCCAGCTTGGACAGACAAATGAATAAACATAATGAATGGTTCCCCCCCCCCACTTCTTCTGTCCTCTCTAGGCCCATCCCCAAGCCGGGCCCCCACCAGGAGAGACCGGACAGGCGGAAATGACAGGAGCATCACCAGATAAAGGTCCTGAGGCTGCCCGACCGACCCCCCTCACCAGGGCTGCACCTGGCCAGGTGGGGCCCTAGGATGTGCCCCAGGCAAGGCAGGGAGGGGACGGTCCTGGATGGACCACTGCGTGGACTGGAGGGGAACTGACCCCAACGGGCTGCACACCCTCATTCCTAACCAGCACACTCTGCCTGCAGCCATCACTGGGCCACCTGGGGGCAGGGGGGCAGCGTGGTCTGAGGAGGGTACAGAGGCCCCAGGAGCCCAGTTCTGGGAAGGGGAGGCCCTTCTCCACCACCTTCCACATAGCCGCCACCCCTCTCACCTCCTGCTAGATTCCCGAGGGCAGGGAGGCTGGGTTCACACCATCCAGGCAGATCCAGACCCAGGGCCCACACCCTGCCCCGCTCGGCACGATGCTCAAAAGGATACGATTCAGGAAATCAAGGCCGGAAGGAAAAGAGAAAGGAAACACCAGGGGAGACTTTGCTGACAGGACGTGGTGAGGCCAACTGACATCCAGCTGAGGCCCCCCTGGGCATGAGGCACTGCCCCTCTGGGCGGCAGCCTCAGGAGACAGGGGGCAGGGGACTCAGAGGAGAGGGCAACATTCCTGAAGCTCCAGGCTGTCTGGTGATGAAGATTCTGTTTGACCAACCTCTAGTCAGGCTCCAGAACCTTCTCCTGGGCCTATCTGCGTCCTCCTGTGACCTCCAGTTTTAGCAAAAGCAGCCCCCACCCTCCACATCCAATCGCTCCCCACAGCTGACCGCCTTCCACAACTGATCAGTTTCCTCATCCTGCGCTCGTGTGCACGTGCGTGCACACACACACACACACACACACCCCAGTGAGGTCTGACCACCTGGCCTGCCCTCAGCAAGAATCCTGGCAGGTGGGCTCAGCCTGAACGCCTCTGCCCCGGATGTGCCCCAGATGGGCCCTGGCCGTGCCCGGACGTCTCCTCCCGTCCATCCGCTCACCCGCAGCCCCTGCTGCTTTTCTGATGGAGACAGTCTCCCCTCCCACGCGTGACCCCAGTGCCCTGGTCCTCGTGCCTGGGCAGACAGCCCTTTGAATAAGTCTAACCGGGCTTTACCAAGTGCCCGTGAATGTTGTGTCTTTACCGCCGGCCCCAGCAAAAGCAGGCTCCGGGGAGCGCAGGGCCCACAGAGTCAGTCCTAGGCTCTTGCAAACAAGGATAACGGGAAAGGGACAGAGGAATGTCGGGAGGGATGAGCTGGGTGGGCAGGGTCCCGGGCTCTGTGCTGGGAAGGGCCACCCTCCACACCGTGTCCAGATCTTCCCCAAGCAGGGGGGGATTCTGATGGGAGACAGCCTGGCCTGAGCTGAGGACATCAGTCTCCAAAGCCCGGTCGCCCCGCCTTGCGGTGGGTGCGGTGACGCCCTGCTCAGCCTGTCACAGGTTCCAGACCCTCTGCGGGGCCCCAGGGCTTTCCAGGGTCCCCAGGCCCAGGAGGTGGGAGGAGCTGAGGGGCTGGTGGACAAGGCAGCCTTGCTGGCCTTCAAGGCCTCAGGCTAGAGGGTGCTCTTGGAACTCACCGCCCCATCTCTCCTGCCTCAGGACCTGGACCGCCCCTCACCGCATTCCACAAAGACTGAAAAGATTAAAGATTTGTACCCCGTCACCTCTCCCTCCTCCCCCTCCCTCTTCTCCTCCCCCGATTCTTGGGTTCTGGCTCCTGGCCTGGCTATCAGGCTCTCCCCTGCGGGAAGGCCCTCACTTCCTCTGTTCTCCGGCCAATGGTCCCTCCTCCCCCGCTTCCCTCCCTTGCCCCCAGCTTCCACCTTTGAGGCCTGAGGGGAGGGCCCTGGAGGCAGGGCCCCAATCTGTCCGTGGCCCCGTGGTGAGAACAGGGCCCTGCTCCCCACGGGTCTGTTACAGCGAGAAGGAAGGACAGCAGACGCGGGGGCTGGCCCACCCAGGGGATGGACCCTCAGGGGACAAGGGGGCCCTCCTTCTGCCCAGCAGCTGAGGTGGCTGGTGGCTGCCGTCCTCAGGGACCCGGGGAAGCCCTCCCCAGGGCAGGAGCTGCAGAAGAGGGGCTGGCAAGTGCCCTGGGGCCCTCCCAGGGCTGACCCTCCTCAAAGGCCAGCGATCTGCAGCAGGTGTGAGCGGTGCAGGAAGTGGGTGCTGAGAGAAGCCACCCGGAGAATCAGACCCCAGAGCCTGGGGAGGGTCCAGGGAGGTGGGGAGGTGGGGAGGTGGGGAGGGGAGGCCAGTGTGGGGCTGGGGGGTTGGGACGTCCCTCCCCTGCTCCTCCCCACCCTCAGGCTCGGCCTCTGGCGCGATGGGGGGACTGGGGCCAGTCTTGTGGGCTCTGCTGGTGTGTGTGGAGTTTGCCGGAGGCGGCAAGAAACAGCCAGGTAGGGGGGACCGCGGTGGGGGGGGGGGCGGGGCTCGCAGGGGTGGACTGGCCTCCCCACCGCGACCCCCCCGGCCGCCCTGCAGGCCTGAACCTGAGCTGCTACCAGTGCTTCAAAGTCACCAGGGAGGAGCTGTGCGCGCCCACCCAGTGCTACCCCACCGACCGGGTCTGCGTGTCCAGCGCGGTGGTCCTGACCAAGAGTACGTCCCGGGGCTCGCAGGGAAGGGGCGGGGCGTCCCGACACCGGCCGGCCCCACCACCCCCTGCCCTCTCCTGCCGCCGGACTCCAGGGGGAGTGTGCGCAGATCCTGAATTTTTCTCCTCTTTCCGAAGTACCAGGTCTTCCGTGCCCCCACCCCCCACCCCCCAGGAACTGTCCTCAGGGCAGAAGATCAGGTGTGACCAGAGGGATGGCTGGGCAGGGGAGGGTGAGCCCGGAGGGGCGCTGGCCAGGCTGCCCACCAGGCCTCCACCCCCTCCCCAGCGGCTGCTGTGGGCCTCAAGCGATAGGACTTTTCAGAACAAGCCTTCGAGGAGATTGTAATGTGGAACAGGAACCACATGAGACGTCACAGAGCAGACCATTAGAAACATTCTTTTTTCAAGTTCCAAAAACATCCAGAGAGCAGGATGTGGAGAGACCCCAACGCTCTCCCGACAGCCACCGGGCTTGCTGATTCTGGGCGGATGGTTCCAGGCCCCTGGGGACCCGCCAGCGCCCCTCCCCCTCCGGGCCTGCTGGACCGTCGTCGTCCGTTGAATCAACTCCCCCTCATGAACCTCAGGAGGGGTCTCGAGGGGTCTCGTCTCCTGATTTTCCGGTAATGATGCCAGAAAATCCATGTGGCCCAGCCGGGCTTCCCGGAGATAAATCCGTAAAGTGGACGCGCCTGTGAGAAACGCAGGTGCATTTGGGGACACCCTGGCCCCTTTCCACATGCACCCTTCAGGAGGGAGCCCCCGCCCCGTGCTCTGCGCCCCCTCCAGGCTTGGCTTCTCCGGAGGACGGGGGACAAGCACGTTGACGGCTGTGGTGCTCTAATGCCATGTGGTTCACGCCTCTTCCCCCGGTTTGCTCTTTTGTTCCCACTGTCTCCTTCGCCCTGGGCTCCACCCAGGGATTCCGTGTCGGTTTGTGGCCTGAAGGCCCTGTGTGTGGCGGTGACGTGTAACGGTGGCCCTCCCTGCTGGAGGGAGCCATCGGCCCGGGCTGCCTCGGGGTCTCCACGCCGAGCACTGGGGAGGGGGCGCCGGGGGTGGGGGGGCGGGCTCCAGGAGAGGAGGAGGCCGGCCTCTTGCCTGCCGCCAGGGACCCCGCAGCAAGGCCAGCCCGGAGCCTTTGCGTAGCCCCGGGCCGGCCCTGACATAACGTAACCGGTTCTCACGTCACACAAGCTGATAGAATTCAACACGACAATCTGCACGCCATAACGTAACGCCACCCAAGAAAGGTGGGCGGCCTTCTCTTCCACAGTTTGGGCTGCTCTGCGTGTTCTCCTTTCTCCCCACGTTCCCTTCGGAGGCTTGTGCCACATCTTGACAGGAACAGTGGGAGACGGGGCCACGCCCGGCCTGAGCGCAGCAGGGGGACAGCCGAGTCCAGTCTGTCGTCCCTGCTTCAACCCACATCCCCAGGACTCGCAGGCTCCTGGGCTGGCCAGGGCGGTCCGGGCCATGGGGCGCGGCGGGGAAAAGCCCCCACCGGGGCCAGCAGTCCCGAACCCCAATTTTGTTGTGACCTCGAGGGTGACCGTGGGGGCCGCTGTCCTGCAGGCCTGGGGCCTGGGAGGTCCGGTAGGCCCTGCGGGGTCACGACTCTCTGATTCTCAGGTTGAGTCTGGGCTTTTGAGGCTCACGTGGAAAGCGCCCCTCCCCCGCCTGCCCACCTCCCCCAGGCTGGTGGCCACCTGCTGTCTCCTCTCGCGCAGGATCAAGGGTGATGGTCCAACTCAGCAAGCGCTGTGCTCCCAGATGTCCCAACACCAACATGAAGTACGAGTGGATGTTGGGATCTATGGTGTTTGGCAAGATCGTCAGGCAGTGCTGTTCTGGATATCTCTGCAACGGGGCCTCCGCCACCCGCTCGGCCCTTCGAGGGGGGTTCCTGCTTGGGGCAGCCCTCGGCCTCCTCTGGGCCCTGCTGTGAGCCCCTTCCTCTTGGCCCCGCAGACCCACTGCACCCTCCCGACCCCCGCCTCTGCCCTGCCTCCGTCCCTTTCAAGACACTGGCGGGGGGACCCTCCCCCTCTGAGGTAGCGGGAAGGGTACCGCTGCCTCCATCCTGGACTTGGCCACCTCAACCATCCCTGCGGGAGCCCTGTGCTCAGACAGCCAGGAGTTAGCAGTCCTGCCCTGCCTGGGGGATGGTGGGCGTGTCCCAGCTCGGGGTAGCCGCTCCCTGAGTACGGTTTCATGCCCCGAACACACTGTCCAGGGCCCTGCAGGGACAAGAAGGGCCTGGCCAAGGCCAGAGGGCGGCTGCGGCCCTGATTCTGGCTCTGACGTGGCCACACACACCCCCGGCCCCGCCCCCTCCATCCGTCAGTGCTGTGGGTGCCCACCCGGGGGCGTTGAGACCACCACCACCACTGCTTCTGGAGACAGTGAACTCACTGCCTGACCGCTCGGCGCTCCTGTGTCTCCAGCCACCTCCACCTGCCGTGCCCGGACCACGTCCCTCCAGCCCACCTCTCTACAGACCCCCGTGGCTGTGCACCGTCTGGACAAAACCATCCAGCTGGGCCGACCGAGCATGGGGACGGCCCCCGGGTCCCGGGCCCAGCACTGGGTTGCAACCCACTGGGTTGCTTACCGGAGTCATGGGCTCCGGAGGGCCGGCAGGCCGCTGCGTGGACGTCGGGGAGAGACCGGAGGGTCGGTCAGGGTCTGGGGCGTGTGGGTGGTGCTCATGTAAGGAACTCGGATGCAGAGACACCAGGAGGGGACGGCTGGGGAGTGGGGTGGACGAAACCCACGTTTGGGGGGCAGCTGGGTTGGAGAGAGTGAGGGCTGGTGGAAGGGACAGCCCCTGCCTGGCCTGCGGGAGGAGGATTGCCCAGGCGAGGGCACAGGTGAGGAGGAGGTTGGGACAGGTGGAACCGGTGACAAGCTCAGGGCTGTCCAGGCCGAGCTGGGGCACCCACGGGACACCCGGGGGCACATGCTGGAGGACGGGGCCGGGAGTGGGGGCCCTGGGTGGGAGGGGGAGCAGGAGAGTCTGTGGGCGGGGCTAGCATCAACAGGTGGCAACATCCTGGGCGCCCCCCACCCCCCAGTGCTCCTCCAACCAGCCACCCCGGTCCTCACACCCCCCCAGCAGGGTCTGCACACCAGCCTGCCTTCCGTGGCGCACCTGCCCCCAGTCCCCAACTACTTGTCATTTTCCCCATGGACTCAGGTGGACTCGTGCCCACGGCCTTTGCAGGGTGGGGACAGCCCTGGGTCGTGGCTCACCGCTGTGCCAGGAGGTCACTGGAGGTAAGACGAGATCTCAGGTGAGATCTGGGACAGGGACAGGGCCCGGGGCAGGACCTTCCCTGCACTATGCTTGTGAGTTTTCGTGCCGAATTTAACCTCACTGGTCCCCGAGGCTGTCCGGGCAGGCCTGTCTCCACCTTCGTCCCAGTCTCCCCACGCAGGGCTCGTTGGGGCACCAGGAGTCTCTGGTTCCCTGAGCTTGGGGCCAGGGCAGAGGGGACTCAACCGCTGTGCAGGGGTCAAGGTCTTCCTTCGAACGGCGTTTACCTAGGAAATACGTGTGTGTGAACTGGGGCAGGAGCCACCGTGCCCTGTCCACACGCCCACCGTCCCAGCCCCTCTCTGCTTCCCTCGCCACAAAGATAAGACCCTTCGGAACTGGGGGCCCTGGTCCCTCCTCTGGACAGAGGACCAAGGATTGCAGCCCCTCAGCTGGAAATGAGAAGCTTTGCTGAATAAATGGGAAAATGCGCCCATGAAGAGAGACTGACCAGTGGGGAAACCCCACGAGTGCCGTCAGAGGCTCAGTGAGGCCAGTGAGATGGGGCCAGGGCCCGCAGCGGGGCCTCTGTGTTGGACCCAGCCACTCAACTTCCCAAGTCCCCAGTGCCGTGTGACTGTCCCCAGCCCTCCTGGACGCCAAGCCACATGGGACCCCTGTTGCACAGTAGGAAGGCCACACTGTCCATGGGTGTTGCTATACTCACTTATTAGTCCCAGGAGTTTTATTGCTGATTCTTTGGGGATTGGGTTCTCTTTTATACTCAGTGCTGGAAAACTCAGGTCCTGATACAAGCCTCCCCAGCCTCCTGGTGGCGCATCTGTGCCCACTGGGGGCTCATCTCCAGTCTGGGTCACGCCCTGCCTTCCCTTTCTTCTACCCGCCTCCTTCATAAACACTTGAGTTTCTGATTCTCCTATCTGGCACTACTGTAGCTCTTTACCTATAAAACCGATATGGTGATTCAACGTTCTTGGTCTCTCTCTTTGATGCGGGTCATTGGCTCTGTGTTCTGGGCTCGACCAGGGGAATCCCTGTCCCGTGGTGGGACTTGACTGCCCCGATGGAGCTCAGGTGTCTCTGCCCAGACGCCCTGCGTGAGGAAGAGCTCTCAGGAGGCACTTGGAGAGCAGGCGAGGGCGGTGCGTGGGCTGCAGACCTTGAACGGAAGAGCCGGCCGTGGGGGGTCCCAGGGTCACTGTCACCCCCTTGGCCCTGGAAAGTAGACCCAAACATCTGTACTGCAAGGCCGCCATGCCTGCTGGACGGATCTGTGCATTCCGTCACATGCTAACTTCACGCGCGAGAGAAACCACACTCCCAGCGTCTCCCGCGGGCTCTGGTCCCTGGTACACCACTGACCCCGGGGCACAGCCACCGGGGCCCTCACTTTGTCTTCAATGCCCAGATTTTGCCATTTAACAATAAATTATCCCCTGGGCCATGTTCTCTGACCACGTCTCCCTGTAAATTAAATGGCCATAACAAGATGAACTTGAACATCCCAAATATTTGGCAATGAAATTATTGTACCTCCGTTAGCTCATCTGCTGAAGGAAGAAATTATAGCGGTTCTTTCGTTCCCTGAACTCAGCAGTAATAAAATCCGTACAGACTTTTTGTCTTAATATTTTCGTTAATGTTTATTTACTTTTAAGGGGGGGGAGGGGCAGAGAGAGAGGGAGACACAGAATCCAAAGCAGGTTCCAGGCTCCGAGCTGTCAGCACAGAGTCCGACGTGGGGCTCGAACCCACACACTGTGAGATCATGACCCGAGCCGAAGTCAGATGCCCAACTGACTGAGCCTCCCGGGCGCCCCCAGACTTTTTGTTTTAAAATGGAATCGGCACTTTGAGGAACGCGGGTGGACCGAAAGCTCGCGGGAGGGACGGGGCTGAGACCCACAAGCCGTGTGTGTGATCCAGCGCCCGGGGAAAGAGCGACAAGTCACACACAAGTGTGACTTTGCCACATGGGACACCAAAATGACAGAGAAGATCCACGAAAGCCACAGAGTGACAACGTGGTGACGAGCAGGCTTGGAAGGGAGAAAGAAGGAGGAAATGGGGAGAGGGGCCACGGAGCACGGGGAGCTGGGGGGCCTCTGTACTGGGGGGGGCGCCACCGACTGGCGGGGCAAGCGCCCTGATCTTGAGCGTGACGGTGGTCATGTGGCACAGAACCTCGTGGGAACTCACCCAACTGTCCACTTGGAAAGGGTGACTCTAGCATATGTAAATCACACTTCAGCGAAGTTGGCTGAGTGGGAGAGGTTCACTGCCCACCTCCGTGGAATAAGGCTGAACATTTAGGGGAAACGGAGTGTTTCCTGGTGAAAGCACAGTTTACTGACATTTCAAAGTTTCCTTCACACACAAGCACAGCACTGACAGCTGCTGGCACAGAAGAGGAAATGGCATTTTTGCGTCGGTGCTGTGGTGAGATCTTTGCAAACGTATCATGCAAGGACGTGCCGTGTGTGTGTGCGTGTGTGTGTGTGTGTGTGTGTGTGTCAATAAAATCGTTCAAGGGGCCCCTGGGTGGCTCAGTCGGTTCAGCATCCGACTTCAGCTCAGGTCATGATCTCACAGTCTGTGGGTTCGAGCCCCGCGTCAAGCTCTGTGCTGACAGCTTAGAGCCTGGAGCCTGCTTCCGATCCTGTGCCTCCCTCTCTCTCTGCCCCTCCCCCCCCTCACTTTGTCTCACTCTGTCTCTCAAAAGTAAATAAATGTAAAAAAATAAATAAATAAATAAATCGTTCAATAAGGCAGCAGAATATAAAATTAAAATGAGGTCCACTGCCTGCTAAAACATTAAAATGAAAACCAAGAGCCTTTTTATATACAAGCAAGACCCAACTAGAGGGCGTAGCTGGAGAGAAAACCTCCTTTACGGTGGGGGCAAGAAAGCTTATACTTGAAAATAAACCTGACGCTAAATGTACAAAATCTACAAGAAATCTAAATTTCACACCCTTCCGAGAGGCAGCCCAGTGACCCCGAACAACCGTGAAGAGGCTCCTTGCTCCTGGATATGAGGACTCGGAATAGCATGAAAATGTCAGCTCTCTGTAACCTATAGATTTTTAAATTTAATGTGATTTCCATAAAAAGTACTGGTTTTCTTCTTGAATGAGATGAGTTGAAACGCACATAAACAACAACATTCTTAAGATCAGCTAGAAATACTCTGGGAAAAAGCAGAGTGGTGGGGGAATTAGTGCTACCAGACGTTAAACCACACTAAAAACAAACAAACAAACAAAAACCTCAAGACTCTAAACAGCATGTTATTGTCATATGAACAGATAATCAAGTGAAAAAGATTGTAGGGACCAAAAACAGACCCAAAACGTATGGAAATTTTGTGGACGATAAAGGAGGAATCTGAAATGACTGGATCAAAGACGAGGTTCAAAAATTATTGGTATGTAAGCAAATGCAAACGCATGGCTATGTGGAAAAGTAAAACTGGATCCGGATACGAGTGTCCACACAGCACGTGAGAGCAAGCAAAATGCTAATTAAACAATGAAAACTACGCAGATACCAAAATAAATGGGATGTGAATATCTTGAAAACCTGGGTGCAGAGAAAGTCTTCTTTAGTATTAATCAAGATCCAAATATAAGAAATAAAAAGATATGTGAGATGACCCTGGGGGGGCT